CGTCTTCGTGGCCGGCCAGGAGAGCCCCCCCCAGTGGCCGTCTGTCTGAGCTGTCTGTGTGAACGGCAGGCCCACACCCACCCTCACGCTTTTCCTGGGGTTCCAGAAGACGCCGAACTCGGGGTCGAGGGCAGAGCTCTGCTGTCCGCGAGAGCCCCCGCTGCGGCCGTGGGCGCTAACGGCCTCTGCTGACCCGGAGGGGCAGCTCCGCTCCAGGGCCTGTCTGTGGCCCAGGAACCCGAGCCTCCCTCTGCCTGAGCCGCCCCTCCTGTCTGCCGGCTCCACCCACGGCCCAGCCCCGGGGAGTCCCCGGGGACAGCCAGCTCCCAGCGAGCTAGGCCTGGGACTCCGCGGGGTGTCCCCGAGGGGCCCCGAGGCCTCTCTGCCGCCTGCCAGGACGACTGGCCGCCGGCCTGGCCCTGTTGTGGGTGCTGCTCTCTCAGTTTTGAAATTCTTCTTGCTTAAAACTCTAATTCCAAATTTTTCTCCACAAGAAAAGCCACCAGAAACTCGAGGCCACAAGCCAAGCCCCAGCAACGCCTCAGGCTCGGCCCTCCGAGGTCGGCCTGTCTGGCAGCTCATGCCTGGAGCTCCCCGACCCCACTGTCCCCGCTCCTGGCACTTGGAGTTCCCCAGGCTGAGCCCAGACGCCACCGCTGCGGCCTGCCCGGCTGTCCCCCCGCAGGAGGGACAGAGGGTGCGAAGCCAGCAGCCCAAACCGCATCCCAGCAGCCACACCGGGGGGGCCTGGGGGGGCCCAGGACAGTGGGGTGCAGGGGGAGAGGAGGCAGGTTCCTGGACGGCCCCGGATGCCCCTCAGGGGTCTCCTGCACGGGGTGGGGAGGGAGCGGCAGGAAGGAGGGGAGGGCAAAGCCCTCAGCCCTGGAGACGGCACCGAGCCACGTCTGGAGCCAGGGCCCCAGGCCGGCTGGAGTCCTTGCCATTCAGGGTGACGACCCCAGGGGCCCTGTGGCAGGGGTGGGGACACCTGGGGAGACCTCAGAGCGGCACACAGAGTCCCGGGCCTGAGGCCCAGGGCACGAGGCAGAGCTGGGAGCCCCTCTCTGCACAGGGCAGCCCGGCAGGAGGCCTGGGACAACAGGGTACCCCGTGATGGGCCAGGAAACAGAGCCCGTAGAGCTGGGGACAAACGCTTGTCTCAGGCCAAAGGCGGAGCCGGTGGCGGAAGACATGGTGGGCAGTGTGCCCCTGTGGGACAGCACCTTTGACCACAGGGCACTCAGCTCAGCTGCTGCTCCCGAGGACAGCGCCCCCCCGCCCCCCGGGGAGGCGGCAGTGTGGGGCGGGGTCCCTGGCTGGACCCATCAGTGCAAGTGGGCATCGGCCCCTCCCCACGCAGCCCGTTTCATTCACGTTCTCACAAACTTATCTGTCCCCATGCCGGACGGCTCCGCCCACCCCCTCAGGACCAGGCTCGGAAGGGGCTCACCAGGCCTGTGTGCCCCGCCTCCCAGCACCCTCCCAGGGTCTGCCTGGGCCCGAGGGAGCCCCACACGCCTCTGCCACCATGAAGCTGGCCACCAGGAGGCCACCAGCACCTGTGGCCTCGCCCAGACCAGCCGCCGACCCAGCGGCCTTCAACAAACCATGGCGGCTCACTGCCCATCCTTTGTCCCAGCTCTGGCCACCTGTCCCTGAGGCTGCGACCCTCTGCACGTGTCCCCCCAGCCTCCCACGACCACTGCGATGAGCCCGGGCCTGGGGTCTGAAGGAGGGAGATGAGCTGGGAACACAGGGTGGGGTGCCCCCTGGGAAGGTGGTCCCAGCGCCCCCCCCCCGCCCCAGGCTCCCAGCCCCCTGGACCCCTCCTCCCGCCCGCCACGAGGCAGGTCAGACCCCCTGCTCCCTCTGGGCTCCGTCAGTGTGGCCCTTGGAAGGTGTCACACCCAGCAATCCTGGACCCCTCCATGCACAGACTCCCAAGTTGACCCGCAGCTGGACCGCACACCTGGGCCCCTCCCCCACGTCTCCTGGGCTGCGGTGTGCCTCGTCCAGGGCCCAGTGCCCCGTGACCCTGCCCGCCAGGCAGGTGGGGGGTCCTCCGAACCCTCTGGCCCCCACCCCCCCACC